GCAACTAGATCAAAATTATGATACCTGAGCGCTTGACGTAACAAATCCTTCAATTCTAAAAGTGTTGTATCACCAAATGCTCAAATTAACAATTCTGTTCTTAAAGAAATTCTACAAAAATTTTTAAATAAAGAACCTACTTCTACAACTGCTTCTTGAAGAACTCGGCTCATTGATTAAAAATATTGTTTTAATTTTACAGTACTAACTTTACTTCTACTTTCATTATTGCTATGACCCTCTTTCATTACATTTTACAACTTCATGCTAAATTTGAGGACTTTCAGTTGTTTTGTGGTTGAAAACTGACATTCAGAAATGTGTACATAAAAAAAAATAATATTTAGAGGTTAAGAGTTGCCTCAGAAAAGTTTGAATTGTAGACATTGAACTTAACAATGAAAACAATCGTTTTTGTGAAAAATTGAATTGTATTGTTGACATCAAAACTAAAAATATTGTGTTTCAACTTAACAATACTACCTTAATTTGTACTTTAGAATTGCCTCGGAGAAATTTGAATTGTTAGCAATGACTTAAACAAAAAGTTTTATTTTAACTGACAAATACTATATTATAATTTTAACTTTTTCTATGACTGTGCTCATTTTCTTACTCTTTTCTTTGTTTTTTATACATTTTATATTTTTGTTATAAAATAAAAAACTTATAGTTGTTCTGCTTCTGAACACTGATGAAAACACAAAATGAAGGGCTTCATCAACAATCAAAAATATATGCATTTATTTTACAAATTCCATATTATTAAGGTGGCGCCCTTCAGAGAATTAAAAATACAAAATTATCTTCATCAAAGCCGATGCTTTACATCCGGCGTTCAGTGGCAGACTACTATTTCATATTGTTTTGCAACACATGGCTTCAGCCCTCTGGTGGGAAGGACTTTAAAACAAAACTTACAACAGTTACTTTTCTCAACAACCGAAATTTAGAATAGTGTGATTAAGAAAAATATGCGAACTGTTTGCAATTTTAAATTAATATTGAAATGTACAGGTCTAGAATTTTCTACAGTGAAAAGTTTTCGGAACTTCAGTATTCAAAAAGGTATACAAAAACTAGACGTTAAGAACGTATCCAATGAGCGAGCAAAGCGAGCATATTGCGAAGCAATCCGAAATGAACTGCGAAAACAGTTTCGGGGGTTGGTGAGCGCCAGCGAGCAGGGGGAAATCTATGAAATTAAAAGCTGAAACTTAATGAAAATAAAAAGCTGAAATGATGTAATTTTGGAATATTGATGATTAAAAAAACATCACCCAAATGATAATTATGTTATGAATAAAATTATAATCAAATTAATTATACTAATCACTTAAATTCGAAATTATATATCAAAATGATTATTTGTAGTGATGGCTACATCCAATCTTAGTTATTTGCAATCAATTTTACGTACATTCATGATTAATTGTAATCACTGCTACGTGTATGATTACTTGTAACCAAAATTGCAATTGTAATTATGATTAATTAATTGCTAAATCATCATAATTATTTATGCTTAATATCACCCAAATATTTGTAATAACTATTACTACTGTATTCGTAGAATTATTACTTGTTAATTGGTTATAATCAAAATTGCAATAATCATGACAGTCTAAAATCAAAACTAAAACTAGAGAAATATTAGTTTGTGCATATTTTTAATAACGATCTGCTATAATTACGATTACAATTGTAATCATAAACTATCATACTTATAATTAGAACTAAAAATTTTGTCATCAATTTGAAATTCTTCTAATCAATTACATGCTGCATGCATCTTCCTATTAATAATTTGTCAAAAGCTTTTTTTTAAACACTTTTTAGTCGAATTTTTTTTATTTTAAACAGATTTTTTCAAACTTTTTTCATTATTTTGTACTAATTTAGGTCAAAATAAAGAAAAAATATTATATTTAGTATTTTAATACTTGATGGTTATGAAATACCACTGAAGCTTGAACCGGTGTCTATTTCTACGTTAAAAGTTTAATCCATCAAGCACGGCTCATTACCAAATAACCATCTTTCAATTTTGTACTTATTTTCAGTTATTTGGATGTAAGAGAGAAATATATTCATCATTAAAATTGTTTTAATTTACAAAATAAATTATTGATAAATTTTTTAATAATAATGAGAAAAAAAATTTTAAACTTCTTTTTTTTTTTAGATTTTATATTTCAGTACAAATATAAGTCCTATAATTTAACATATTTTTAGTACTGTTTCTTAGGCTGATTTATTGCAGATTTTACTGATTTTTTAGACTGTTTTTTATTATTAAAAAACAAGAAAATATAATTTTCTGGTAATCAGAGTGTTAGAGTAAAAAAATATAAAAGGGATACCTTCTGCGTCAAAGGGTTGACATTAAAAGTTGCAAACTATAGTTTGAAGGGAATGGAATATTTTTTTAAGTCCTATATACCTTTCGTGTTTACGTTTGCTTTTATAAAAGTACCTTGGATAAAAGCAGAAATCGATTCCTGTTTTTCTTCTTAGGACTTAGTTTTCTTTTTTTAGAAAGAAAAAACTTCGACGTAGTTAAAAAGACACCACATCCATTGAATTTTTTTTTCTTTCCTTTTTTTAAAGAATTTTTTTATTTGGGTCCTCCGGGCGATACTCTTTTATCTTTCGTTCAGGCGTATTTTATGCTTTGAGAAAATCGAATGGAATGTTTACTCTTTCAAAACAATTTTTTATACTTGGTCAACAAGATAATTTTCATTTTAAAAAATTTCAGATTTTAAACATTTCTCAAAGGTAACCATATTTTTTGACCATGAAATATTTAAGACGTAATATGCCACTGCCGCGTAAAAAACTTAATTACTGAAAGAACACTTCTTTTAACATCTTTGAAAGCCCACCTTATAATTAATAAATTATTATTCTTTGATTTTAAAATATTTTAATACTGTTTATGAAATGAATAATAATTAAGTTGATCAAAAATTTAAAACTTATTATCTTCATGTAAGTGTTATTACTAAATTAAAAAATAAAATAAAAATGCAAGCATCATATACGGAAAAAAATTATATGAATATAATTATTATGTGATGTAATATTTTTAGATTAATCTATTTAAAAAATATGTAAATTCCATTTACTATTTATTTCAAATATAGAAATGTAATTTTTATTTTTGTATAGAAATTTCATTTTTTATTCTTTATAGAAGATATTTTTCAACTTTTATGGACCAGAAAGTATGCAACTCGTAAAAATAAATAAAATAGTTTCATGGGATAGCTTGAATCAAAAATTTGGCAACAAAATTTCTTACATTTTTTTCATCATTGTAAAATCAGAATAATAAAAAAAATCATTTGCTTTCAAAATTCAAGCGCAAAAACTAAAAAGCTGAGTTGTAGGAACTGTTACATTTTACCACATTCGGCAAGTCTATACTTAAACTTTTGTTAAAAGGTAAGCATTTTATTCAACAAAAAGTCTGACTCTAAATCTCGCCAATTTTATACCACAGTCATACAGAATTTTTTTAATACAAATTATGTATAAATGTATTCTTTCGTAACATACATTTAAAAGATTTTGCATTTTTTAACTTTTAAAAACTGATTATTAAAAATTTTTCTTCTTTAAGAACCTAGAATTTTAATTTAATTATGTTTATTTCATGGAATACAACATATGAATCAACGTATGCAATATGTACACAACACTTCATTATCCATTTACAACATATGGATGATTATTACACATGATATATTTGTTCTTTTAACTAAGAACTCTCGTCTTCAAAACGCATTCAGTGTAGAACTTGGCTCTCAATTTATCATTCAATGTATAGAACTGTTTGACGAGGAAATTTCTATATAAATTTATCATCATTCGCCAAGCCTTAACCTATTACGTGATCTTTTTGATGGTCCTTTCTTCGTGTAATTTCGAACTACTACATAGTTTTGTCGTAATTAATCCCATTTATGAATTAACCTTAACCCATTTTCAGATCCCTTATATCGTGTAGTCGTGACACGGTTTATTTTCTGAAAAATCACTAAAACATATTATCAAATTTAAACTACTCACATAAGCATTTTTATGCATAAGTAAAGATGTTTTTGTAAAGTTTAAAAATATATTGAATTAGAGATGTTCTTGTTAAATCTGTTACATTTATTAAACTGAGTGGGTTTAGAAAAGTTTATTGAATAAAAAGGTTATTCAAATGTTTTTGTAATCTTTATGAAATGCATAGTTGATTAAGATTTTCGTTTTCAAAAGTGTTTCTTTTTTCTGTAATCTATTACATTATTAACATTATTAACGCCATTGATGACAAAAATTTGAAAAAAATTAAGAGAATATTTATAAGGTATAATAATAATTTACTCAGTCCAAAACATCTTAATGGTAATTTTTTTATCCAGATTAATATGCTTGGTAAAGGCTATAATATATTTCTAATTGAGACGTTTTTACAAAATTTATAAAATTTTTCTTTAATTGCGAGCTTTTTTGTAATAATTAATTATAAACTGTATTAATCATTAAAAAATTTTGGAAATATTTATGCAATGTTTTGTTGATATAGATTTTTTTATATACATTCTTCAGATCAGAAATTCACCTGTATGAAAGTTTTATGAAATATATCCAAATTTATGATGTTTTTGTACAATACATAAAATGCAATAAATTTTTTTGAAACATTATGAAATTTATTAAGGATTTAGTTACATTGTAAAATTAATAGAACGCGTCGATAATTTTTTTTTTTTGTATGTTGATGTCTTAATAAAATTTGTTGACATAGATTGAACTGATTTAGTTACTAAAGTTACTGTCCAAAATAAAATAGTTTTCTAACAGGTATTTTTAAATTTCAGCAATATGCAGTCCTGACTGTAAGAACGGTGGGAAATGTCTGGGCCACAACTCCTGTCTCTGCCCAACTGGGTATCGTGGAGACAGATGCGAATATCGTGAGTAATGGAATAATTTATTCTTATTATTATTCTCAAATCATAAAAATAAAGAATTAAAATAAATAAAATATATTTTTTGCGCTTTATGTTTTTTAAGTTGTTATAATTGGTGTAACTTTTATTACATTTCAAGTTAAATTTCGGCAAAAAAAACAATCTAACATGGACGGCATATTTTATCGAAATGATAAATCGCAAGATAAAAGTAACTCATAGTCATCAGATCTACAAGTTTCAGAACTATTGATTTCTAAATAAAGTATATAAAGAAATATTACATTGAAATTAAAAATATATTTTATTTAAATTTGAAATATTGTTATTGTAGTGATCCTGATCATAAAACTATTTATAAAAAACATACCATTTTATTTAAAAGTTCAGTATGTTACAACATCAAAAAATATAGGTACAATGTTACAAAGATATAGAGGAACCATACAAATATTTTATTTATTTATTTTTCATTCTGGATGGTGATGAATTTAAAAAAAAAATTATAAATATTTTATTTTTAGTTTTAGCTAGAAATTAAGTCAGACTGTAATTTTGCCATAAGGAAACTAAGAGAAAATTAAGATAAAACGGAACGTTTGTTGGGTGAAAAAATTTATTTTTGGAGAAAAAATTTGTTCCTAAAATATAAGTGATAACTCAAAAAATACTATTCTATTATTTATTACCAATCGTTTCTTAAAACAAGCGGGAGATGAACAGTATTTTTGGCGTTTTTAAGTGCAACGTACAAGGAAAAGAATGGTCTCAATGTTTCCTCATTTAAAATCAATATCTTTCTCACATAATTTTGAATAAAAGGTAAAAAAATTTGCTTATTTTTAAATTCAGGAAAATTATATGCAGCTAAGTGTATATAAAATATATGCATTCATTTTTAATATTTTGGGTTAATTTTTAACTTGAAATAAGAAGGGAAGCCATCTAATTTAAAATAACGTTATTATCTCTAAGCACGTTACAAATGCTCTTGTAATGCCATCTGGTGCATAGATGGAGAAATAAAAGTGATTCCTGTCATAAGAAATAGATTATTTTTATTTTTTGGTGTTTTACTTTTAAACGCTCCAGTCCAGAGTCATCACTGACTCGAGAAAGAGAACAAAACGTCAGCTCGTCATTTTGACGAGAACGAAAATAAAGTGGTTAAGATAAAAGCACGAAATATTTATGGTGAAAACTTTTAGTTTTCCCGTGATATATTGTTTTAAAAAAAGAAGTGATACATAAGACGAAAAACTATTCACCTAATAATAAATTTTCCTTATTAATGTTGTTTTTGTTTTCAAATTTTTGCGGATCATCTTTTCTTAAAATGTGGTATAGTGAAAGATTTAAAAAAAAATTTTCGAAAAACAAATATCTTTTCATTTAGTGAAAAGTAGTGGGTAAGAGAAAATTTTCATTCAGAATAAACTAAAATTTGCCTCTACTTTTTTACATTAATTACTAATAATATATATTCCAAGCAAATATTAAGTAATTCGTAATAATTAAAGTATTTCTCTAAACACGTTATTAAATTCATAAAACTTAAGAAACTGAAATTATTCTGCAAAGCGTTTACTTTCAATCTCTGAGTTATTTTGAAACGTAACATTTTACCCATTTCTTTTGTGCTTAAGCTATCTCTCTGTGCGATGCCCATGGCCGACTTGCGTCTGTCACGTGGGAATGTCAGAATAACAAGGAAGAATCCATCTGCAATGTTAAATGCCAACCTGGTCAAAAACTTCAACCTGGCCACATCAATGTTTACAAATGTCGATTGGACGGAACTTGGGAGCCCGATTTAAAACCAGTATGTGTTTTAGCCATCGGAGGTGAGTCAATATCGTGACCTGTGGATAATGTCATATGTAATGTAAATCTATACGTCTTTGAAGAAAATAATTATTGTGTGGATAATTCCATATATCTAAGTGAACTGATCGTTAAGACACGGTTCCGAGCAGATCACCGAAGTCAAGCATCACTAGTTGCGGTCAGTGTGCGGGTGGGTGACCACTTGGATCAGTCTGCGTAGGGACCGAGGGTGTGCGGTATTGGTCCTCGTTAAACTGTTCTACCGTAAAGTGCTCGACTTAGCGTGCAGGTCGTTGGGCTACCGAAGCAGGGGTGCCATCCCCTCTGCAGAGGATCAAAATTGTGATGGCTTGTCTTCGGATCATCCTCAGGGATGTTTCCCAGACCGTCGCCAATAGCCCATTGTACAGCTCTAGTGCGACGTAAATTAACTACAACAACTACAAGCTTATATCTAACTCATAATCGTATAAATAATGTACTGTCATTGTCATGCAAATTGTTATAAGAATACTATTATATGGCATAGTCATCTGAATAATATGCCATACGTATATATATAACATCGAATGAAATAACGCTTACAAGCACATTAACCGCCCCTACATCAAATAACAATTTTTTAAACGTTTCAGAGATATTATACTTAATAATATGCAATTATTCTAGTTCAATTCTTACGTCATTTTCTGTTGTTTAAGTTCATCTTTTGAAAATTATTGTCTTAATTATCGTACTTTACTTTCCAAGCCCCATAGAATAATTTTAAAAAAAACTTCACATAATCTATGACTTAAAATGATCCTAAAAATCCCATTACGCGTTGCGTCTGAAGAATTACTAGATTATCAGCAGCCGGTATATATATATACCAGCTGTTGATAATATTATATATATATATATATATATATACTTTTCTTTAATTTAAACTTT